AAGCATCCCACGAAGCTAACTCTCTGACCCCTATCCCAATATATATTCTTAAAATAATTTCATGCACATAGAAAGCTCAAGAGTACCGTTGAGCAGAAAGTGATTCCGAAAGAATAAGCAGGCATCCCTTTAAACACGCCTGTGTGCGGGGATCTCTGGGGTGCTTCCCCTTCCTCAGAATGAGAACAACCTTGAGCTGATGATGTCAGTTTGCTGACCTGTCTTTAGGGTTGTGCTGGGCTGGACTTAAGGGAAGCAGACTGAGGTCCCAGCCCAGCCACTGGCCAGTCTGGCTGCCCCACTAGGTCTAGTCATCCAATAGACAGCCATCGGATACTTGGTCCTAGACTGGTCCCTTTGTTAGTAGTCACTTCCTGGGGCACAGCAGCCATGACTTTGACTAGACTCTCTCCACCACTAGGGGCAGCTACAAAGTTCAGAACTTGAGTCCGAAGACCAAGTCACTCAGCTTTAGCCAGCTACTAACTCCATATCTTAGGCCCTCAGAGCCACCACATCCTGCCTGCAAAATGGAGATTAAATCCCACTGGGTCCTGGTGAGTACTAAATAGAGTCACTCAGGGGCTGGAGCGATAGTACAGCGGGTAGGGTGTTTGCCTTGCATGCAGCCAACCAGGGTTCGATTCCCAGCATCCCTTATGGTCCCCTGAGCACCGCCAGGAGTAATTCCTGAGTGCAGAGCCAGGAGTAACCCCTGAGCATTGCCGGGTGTGACCCAAAAAGCAAAAAAAAAAAAAAAAAAACCAACAATGGAGTCACTCATGCCAAGGGCCTGGTGGAGAGCTCAGCACAGACCAGGGGAGCAGGAGTCTCCTCCCACACATGCCCTCTCAGTGCACAAAGGTCATTCCCCAGAACCCCAAAGGCACCCACACAGTGCTCTCGCGCGCTCTCTCTCTCTCTCTCTCTGGGACAAACGTAAGAATAAAGGATTGCTATCAGCCTCTCCTAGAAGGGTGTCCTTTCCAAAAGAGCAAGGCAGGAGTCTCAGCCACAAGCTGGCTGCTCAGCCCTGTACTCCCCCCGCAGACCCTGCTACCCAGGCCTTCCACCCCCTCCCTAAACCCCTCCCCATGCTCACAATATAAGGAAACTGCTAGCCCCTCTCCTAGTCACCAGCAAGGAACCATGTGGCACGTTTCACGAGGGACTGAGTTTCCAGGGCAGTTGGACCCCTCAAACAAGGGGTAGAGTCCCAGCTCTGCACCCCTTCAGTATGTGGGGAAGTAAGACCTGTAGTGTGATGCTAAAACTGGTGGTGGGGTGGGTGGGGGGGTGCTGAAGCAAAGGGGAAACAGATCTCATCATCATGTCTGTAGAGATGCATCATCAGAAAACTCACCCAGACTGTAGGGACCAGAGCAACAGCACAGTGGGTAGGGTGCTTGCCTTGCTTGTGGTCAACTCAGGTTTGAGCCCCCACAGAGTCCCCCAAGCATCACCAGGAATGATCCCTGAGCACAGACTCAAAAGTAAACTCTGAGCACCACTGACTGTGGCTCAAAAAAAAAAGCAAAACAAAACAAAACAAAAGACTCTGAGGACATGCTCCACTAAAGGCTGGGCTAGCCGTCCTGGAGCCAGAGTCTACGTCCCAGCACTCATGGGGCCATGGTACTGGAGTCACTATCGTTATCTTCCCAGCCCCACCCCCATTATACTAAAAGGGTCTCCAAAAACAGAAGAACTCATCATCTCCACCTTCGACGTGCCAGGAGCCAAGTGGGCAAATCGCTTACGCCTTGGTGTCTGTGCAGCAGGGTGGCACCCCATCCTTTCCTCAGAGACTGAGCACATGGCTGGGGGTGCCAGAAGGGAGGACAGCTGGGGAATAAGGACACCTGCCCTCACCTGGGGTGCTCAGACCCCTTGAGGGTCTAAGAGAGACAGGGCACGGGGTCTGCAGGGAAGAAGCGGCCCATCTTCCGCATGCACTCAGGTTCGGTTCCCATTCTATCCCTCACATCCCATGGAGAGGAAAATGAGATGATGGATGATGGGTTTCCAGGGAGTCTTAGGAGAGTCCCACACACTGATAGACATGTAGTGCACCAACAGTACAGCCTGGATTCAAACCAGACCGCCCCTGGGAGCCAGAAACAGGAGCCCTGCAATCCTGCAGCCCACACACCATCCCAACTTTCTACTCACAAACCGGCAGCAGGACTGGTCAAGGTGTCCAGGACCATCTCCTGCATTTTCTCACTCTGAGTAATAATTGAACACAGACCACTGCGGGTGTGGCTTCTAAGTCTTGGGGAAAAGCCCAGCGTGGCTACACAAGCCAATCCAGTGGCCAGCACCTTCTCGAAGGAGAGACACTCAACACTGCAGGCCTGTCTCTGGGGCCCTGAGCTGGGGCTGGGGAGGTGCCAGCAGGAAGGAAGCCACAGTGGGCATCACCACAAGGCCGCCTGACCACATCATGCTGGGCACCCAGTCCGCTGTGGCCATCCCTGGCCTGTCACCCACAGAGAGAAGAACCAAGAGCCAGATAGAGAAGCAGCTTCCCCTCTGGGCAGCGGTGCAAAATGCACCTGACCCTCGCTCCGGTAAGTTCGGCTGGAAGAGTGTGCACTTACAGATACCCAACACCGCAGGCAGTGGCCGCACCAGCCCCGTTGTACATGCAGGAAGCCTGACGCTCAGGACTCAGGGGCCTTGCCTGAAGGCTCAAGGATGGACCCCAGGTGGCATGTCAGCGCTGTGGCTCTCCCTCCTCCACCCCTCCCTATCATCAGAGGTAAATTATTCACATATATGAGTTGCATAAGTACCGATTATTCTTTAGCAATAATTGCTCTCCTCAGTAATATGCTTCCTCCCATCTCGTCAGTTTGGTAACTAAACCTTAGAATCTTTCATAACGCAAACCCCTTCAAAACAGGGATGGCATGACCATCACTGGCTTCAACCCACTGGGGACCCCCTCATTCCAGCACAGAATGCAGGGCTGCAAGATGCCCCTACCTCCCGGTTCAAGTAAGGAGACTCTGGGGCCTCCAGAATACAGTGACTCCCCCAAACTGACTGGTGGTGGAGGCAGCTCTGGGGAACTCCAGGAGCATGAACTTCCACCCCTGGCATTACCCGGGTTCTTTTCAGGGAGCAGGGTGGGTCCCAGACACCAAGAGAGCTGGGGCTGACCCTCCCCGGGCCTCAAAGCTGCCAGATCTGATGCATCACTCAGCAGACACAGGGGAGGAAGGCCACGGAGCCCGGAGCTGCACGCTCTGGCCCAGCGCTCACCACTTGGTGGGAAGGAGCCGCTGTGGGAGCTCGGGCGACTGGCATAGCCAAGCACCATTTCCAGAGTAGGCCCAGCCAAGGGTTTCAAGTTGGCCCTGCAACCAGGAGCACACTGCAGCCACCAGAGGTGAACCAGAGGGGCAAGGGCCTGACCATGACCCCTCCAACAGAACTGAGCCCACAAGCCCCCTAAATGTGCCAGCTTCAAAACAAAACTTTGCTGGGCACACACATTTGGCTGTGTTCAAGGAACCAGTTTCTCTCTCCGCTTGAAAAACAGCTGCCTGCATGCAGAAGAGTCCATGGAGGAAAGAGCTGGGGGATGGGGTGGTGGGGAGAGAAGGAGGAGGCAGTGTTGGTTGTTGGTTGGTTTGTTTTTTACAGGAGGTCCTGGTCAGACTGCTATAGCAACTGTAACAAAAATAATAGCCAACACTGAGGGGATGCTGCCAACATCCCTGATCTGGGTAGCTTTGAAGAAAACAAAACTTAAGAGTGTTTGGGCTCAAATGGGGATCCCAGCCTGACACATAGACAGAGGAGTGAGGGCTCGGTCAGAAATAATCACCCTAGACAGAGGGGCGAGGATAGATCTGGAATAATCACCCCCAAACCACCCGCCAATGACAGCTGGCAAAGGCAATTATTGGGAGGGGTCGGGGAGGGGAAGATATTAAGGTTCTAAAGAAACAACACATCCCCAGACCTGCTGGAGACCAGATGGGGTGATGCACCATGCACAGACACCCCAATCTTGCAGACTATTAACTACTCCCTCGACGGTCACACCCTTCCCGGTCTCTGGACAAAAGCAAGTAGGAACCACACTAGCGTCCCTCTAGGAGGGGACAGGAGCTCCCGGTTCTGAGAGCCCAACAGTCCGCTGCTGCTTCCCCTTCCCTTTACTGCCTCGCTTTCCCCGCGACAAAGAAAGGGGGAGGGGCGGGGGGGCGAGGATATTTCTCCACCCTCGGGGCTGTGTCTCCCAGCACCCCTTCCCAAGTGTCCTCTTCTCCCTCAAGGCTGCCTTCGGCGGCATAATCCTCCCTAAGCCCCGCTCCAGCGTTTGGAGGGAGTGGCGGGGACCCGCTGGTCATCAGGCTGGGGGCAGCGAGGCGCGGCCGCGGCGGCGCGCAGGGAAAGCCCCCGGCGCCTGGGCGGTGAAAACGCCGTTTCAGCACGCACTTTCGGAGCCGCGGCAGCCGCGAGCGAGCAGGAGGGGACGGGAAGCGACGAGACGAGCCCGGGGCGGGAAGCGCGGTGGCAGCAGCCCGCGGGCCCGGCTTCACGCTAAGGGGCCTCCCCCGCCCAAGCCCCTGTGGGACCCCCGAGCCCCCCGGACGCTCGGCCCCGACACGGGTTTTAAGAAAAAAAAAAGTCCAGGCGAGGCTCCTCCGTGGGAGCACCCTGGAAACGGGGGGCAAGCGGGGGAAGGGGCGGCGGCGGGTGTCCGCGCGGGCCCGCCCCGCCCCCCGGCTCCTCCAGCCGCTTCCCCGCGCCCCCCGGAGCCCGGCTCCCCCGAATCCCGCCCAAGGTGCGGCGCTGGTCCGGGGTCCGCTCGATCGGCCTCGTCGCGGAGGGGAAGGAGGAAGGGGGAGCCTTCCGGGCTCCGGGATGCCACCGCGGGGGGTGGGGGGAAGGCGTGGACTGCGGTGACCAGCAGGGCGCCGCGACCCCCGCCCAGGCAGCTCGCCCCCTCCCGCCGCCGCCGCTGCCGCCGCCGCCCTTACCTCCAGGGTCCGGATCTCCTGCTGGGTGAGGTCGTTGGACACGGCGCACTTGGTGCGCAGCCCTCGCAGGCTGCCGATGGAGATGTCGATGAGCTTCTGGAGCTGGCCGCACTGCTGCAGCGCCCGGCCGGCCGCCGCGCCCCCGCCCTCCTTCTTCTCCCCCATCGCCGCCGCGCGCGGCGCCGCTCTATCCATGCCTCGGCATCGGGGCCGCGGGCTGCGGGGGTGCCCGGGGGAGCACGGAGAGGAAAGCCCCGCCGCCCGCCCGCCCGCCCGCCCGCTCAGCCGCGGCTGCAAAGCGAAAGCCGCGGCGACCCGACGGCTGCGGCTCTCCAGCCTTTAAGCGGCCGAGGGGGCCGGGCCCGCGCCGCGGAGCATGCCGGGACTTGTAGTCCGCGCCGCGCACCTGCCGCCCGCCCGCGCCTTCGAGGGCCGCGCTTGCAGCCCGCACGCCCCCCCGTGCGCCGCAGCCCCGGCCTGGCCCTGGGCAGAGGACGCGGGGCCGTGCGGGCGAGGGCGTTCCCGGCGGGACTGCTCGCCGCCGGCTCCTCCCCGCCCTCGCCTGGAGGCTAGGGGCTTCCCGCGACCCCCGGATGGGGCGGGGCAGGAACCCACACCCCTGGACTCGAGCGGAGCGCGCAGCCTGCTGTTCCTCGGGGGGCGGCCGGCTCGGCCGGGATGGGGACCGTGGCGGAGCTCGCAGGGTTTCATTGTGGGCTGAGGGGCCGCCATCTAGCGGGAAGGGGTCCGAAGTACTCGCGACGCGCTGGACCCGCTGGTCCGCACCCCAGAGGCAGCGAGCGGTCAGACGTAAAGGAAGGGTCGGGGCTTTCTTCCGGGCCCGGCAAACCCACCCAGATGGAAAGCCGTGGCCGGAGAGACAGCACAGCCGGCGCTTGCCTCGCACGCGGCCGACCCGGGTGAGAGCCTCCGCATGGCATATGCCCCGAGCACCGCCAGGAGTGATCCCTGGGCGCAGAGCCAGGAGGAAGCCCCGAGCACAGCAGCGTGTGACCATGCAAAAAGAAAGAAATACAGGAACCGGAACGGTAGTCCAGCGGGTAAGGTTCTTGCCTTGCACTTGGCCGACCTGGGCTCAATTCCAGGCACCCCAGAAAGTCCCCCTAGCCCCATCAGCCTTATTCCTGAGCATAGAGCCGGGAGTAATTCCTGAGCTCCGCTGGAGGTGGCAAAAAAAAAGTGTTAATAAATAAAAAATAAAAGACTGTCCCAAGGCCACCAACAACCCAGTCGGACATCCCAGACGCTGGGAGGAAAGTGTGCATTGATCTGTCGTGCCCCTGGGGGCGCTCTAGAGCAAACAGCCTGGGTGCAAACTCCCCATTCTACCTCCGCCTCCAGGGCTGAGTTCTCCATCAGTAAACATGGGAAAATAGTAGTTATCCCCTAGAATTCCTGTGAGGAACGACACAGTCTCTAGATCGAGTCAGCAAGTATTACCCCCACACCTCCGGTCTCCTAATATGGCCTCAGTCCCTAGCAGTGGGCATGGGAGCAGGACTGGTACTGTGGACCTGGTAAGTACTAGGCACTCTCAGGCTTTCCGAGCAGCATTCAAGCCCGATCCTGCCCCCTGCCCGTTCCCAGGCGCTCTGTTATCTTGCTAAACTGGAAAAAGCCAAGACTGATCAAAGGTCCTCCTCATCACACTTCCAACATCTGCCAACCAGAAGAAGTAGCTCTGAATTTTCTCTTGTAAACTGTGACTGCAGAAGCAACTGGCTGATTTATCTTCTTATCCTCGTCACAGAGCCAGATCTTGTGCATGGCACACAGTGCAGCCTCTCAGAGTTGTGCAACCCACTTCATGTGTTCTTTCACACAGGTTCTCTGCCAAGTTCTCCCATCTCAGGCCAGCATGCTCTTGTAAGCTCTTGCTCTTGTTCTCATTCTCCCTCTCACCGTTGTTGCAGTTATTACTATTTTGAAAGTGAGGGCCAGGTTCTGAAGCCCAATGGACAGCAGTGTATTCCCACCTGGACAGAACAAAAATCAGTAGTGTGATACAGCATAGCAGGTTCTGCTGTATCTTCCTTGAATGCCCTTCGAAGTTCAAAGAAAATTTAAAGCTTAGGACTTAAAAAACTGAACTATGGGGCTGGAGTGTTAGCACAGTGGGTAAGGTGTTTGCTTTGTACATAGCCAACCCAGGTTCACTCCCCAGCATCCCATATGGTTTCTTGAGCTATCACCAGGAATGATCCCTGAATGCAGAGCCAAGAGTAAACCCTGGCATAGCTGGATGTGGGGGGAAACTTGCTCGAGCGGGCCCAGTAACGTCTCCATTGGAGACTTTGTTGTTACTGTGTTTGGCATATTGAATACTCTCGGTAGCTTGCCGGGCTCTCCGAGAGGGGCGGAGGAATTGAACTCGGGTCGGCCATGTTGGCCGCTTGTAAGGCGAACGCCCTACCGCTGTGCTGTCGCTCCAGCCAGTTTCCAGGGGGGAAACTTAAAAATTTAAAAAAAACTTAATTAAAAAAAATGATGATTTTAAATATATTTTTGCAAACTAATCTCTCCTCTAAAAATGTTCAGAAAACAGGGTCATCCTGACTCCTGACGTTTCTAACTCAGATCATGCTGTCCTCACTTATCAAAGATGCACCCACACACACCGACCCTCATTTGACTTGATCTTCCCCACTACCATTATGTTACTGAATCACTGGAAGAGAAATTGCCTAACAAGCGCTCACAAACTAGATCTGAACCTCAGAAGCTCCTGACTACAGTGTCACCTATCCTCCATTTCCAGTTCAGAGGGTTGAAGATGGGGCTAGAAGAACTGGCATTTCCAACCTCATCTCGGGTTGTGGTAATCCTGGTCATCAGGGACAGGAACTAAGATGGCTCTGGGGCAGGGCAGTGGGGCAGGAGAGCTCTCTGGCAGGACCATCCCTGGAGCAGCCCAGCTGCTGCAAAGCCTCCATTTGTTCAGCAGCTGGAGCTCCCGGGCATGATCGCCTCTCTCGCCCTAACTCCCTTCACAAGATAGTTAGGGCAAGTTGGCACCGGCTGAGTGCCAACTTATACATTTACCACTTTACCATCTTTTCCACTGGGGCCACATTCTCTACTCCTACCCCCACCCCTGGGCTGCTGTATGTAGGAAGCTACATCCTCAGAATGACCATGGCCTGAAGTATCCACAGACCACCAGACAGAGGGTTCAGAGCTGGAGAACAAACCAACTCCAGCTGCCGGCTGTCCTCTCACCAGTCCACATGTGCCCGGTCCCTCCTCTTGTGCACACACAGCCTTCCTTTAGCTTTGCAAGTAAGCCTTTAGCTATTTCATTCCAGGTGCACTTCTACACTGGGTCAGGCTGTCCTGCCAGTCACATTATTCCTGAATCTCTCTCTCTCTCTCTTAAAGATGGAAAATTCAAGACTTGTAAAAAAAGCGTCCCATCTTCACCCTCTTAGCATTCAATAAGTAGTTGCTAGTCTCTGCCTCTGTGGCAGACCCTAGTTTGGGCTAGAAAAACAGACCAAGACAAAGATACTTACCCTCTGCGAAGTGCTATTCTGGAGAGAAAAGAGAGATAAACAAATAAGGCCCAGCCCACCCATGGTATCTGATGCTAAGCTAAAGCACCACCTACCGTGGAGGAGAGGGGCAGGAAGTGGAGGGTTCACAACTTTCCATAGGGCTGAGAAATCAAAGCTCTCACCCAGCCCTGTGTTACTCCGAGACCGTGGCCAAGTCTCTGATCTCAGGGCCCCTACTACATTTGCAAGATGGAAATAAAGTGTTGTGGGATGAATGAAGAGAATTATGCAAAGCAATGGCCATGAAATAGGACTTAACATATTTATTTGTTCTATAAATACTCTGCCAGACACTACTCCAAATGTGTAATGTCTACTCATTTAACTAGCGTGAGTTACTTTCCTTCTGTGCCTTCTGGATTGAGTCTATTCTAAATTGAGGATTTCTAACTAATTGGAGGTATTGATTCTTAGTTCAACTTCATCTCCAGGTTCCTGAGACTGCTGTAAATACCCCCCTATAGGAACCTGGTTCCTTCCCTTCTCCCTTGCCTCCACCTCTGACACCTCTGATAGCATCATTCTGAGTTTTCCGTTCTGAATTCCCTGCATGCATCTCCACATCTCAGTGACCATCCAAGTGTGTTCCTGAAGAGACCCAACAAGCATGAAAGTGGTATTGACTGCATGCCAGGCTCAGGAGCCAGGGGAATTACGTTCTTAATCTTTTGTTTGTTTGTGCCACACCTGACAAAGCTCAGGGGTTACTCCTGGCTCTGCATCCACTCAAGGGACTCTGTGGAATTCCAGGGATTGAACCCAGGTCAGCCATGTGCAAGGCAAACACCCCATCTGCTGTACTATCTCTCTGGCCCCACTGTCCTTATTCTTGTGGAATATAACTGAGAATGGACACAAGAAATGTCCATCCCGGAGGGCTAGGGCTCAGCAGTAAAACGCTTGCATGGCATGTGTGAGCCTGGGAAAGAAAGAATGGAAGAAAGGGAGGGAGGGAAGGAGGGAGGGAAGGAGGGAAGAAGGAAGGAAGGAAGGAAGGAAGGAAGGAAGGAAGGAAGGAAGGAAGAAAGGGAGGGAGGAAGGAATTGGAGCCGGAGAGATAGTCCAGTAGTTAAGGCTCTTGTCTTGCCATGGTTAGCCTTGGTTCAATCCCCAGCAACACAGATAGTTTCCTGAGCACTGTCAGGGAACAATCCTGAGCTCAGAGACAAGAATAACCCCCAGACTACCAGATGTCACACACATACCCCAAAAAAAGGAGACAGAAAGAAAGAAAAACAGAAAGAGAAGGAAAGAAAAAATAGAGGAGGGAAGAAGGAAGGGGAGAGGAACAAAGGGACTATAACACCTGCAATATATCATTAAAATTAATTCAGAGAATGATAAATGCTATAATTCAAAATTCAGAGAATATAAGAGCGGTGAAGGAGGCAAAGGAGGAAGAGGAGAGGTGGAGGAGGAGGAGGAAAAGAACAAAGCAAACATCTGGTAGCAAATCCCCAGGGGCTGAAGAGCTTCTTTAGATGAAATGGTCAGAGCAGTATCCTCTGACTGATCACTGAACCAAGGTCTAAATAAAGAAAAGGACAAACCAAGGAGAGCTCTCAGAGAGAGGCATTCTAGGCAATGGAACACTACGCGCAAAGGCCCTGGGGCAGAAACAACTTGGCACACTCAAGGAACAGAACCAAGGCCACTGTGGTTACAGTGTGATCAGAGCCAATGGAGCTGGGAGATGACGCAGGATAGCTGGGTAGGAGCCAGA